CAGGCTGTCCTTGAACTCTCAATTCTCCTGCTTCCACCTAGCAATAAGTTAGGATTATAGAAGTATCCAGCTTACCCTGAATCTAAGCAAATTTCAGAAGTTCAAACTGAAAAACAATGATTTTTAAAAATTTGTGTGCGTGCCTTCCTCCTTTTCTTTAACTTCTGGTGTTTTTATGTAACTGTTTACAAATAACTCTCTAATACAAATATTTGATTTAAGGAAAAAAACTAGCAAAATCCAAAAGGAGGGATAGCATGTATAAAAAATATCTTTATTAGGACATGATTTGCATGCCATAAAATTCACTAATTGATTTATATAGTATTCTTGCTTATGCAACTAGTGTTAGAACATTTTAGGATTAGATACAATTTAAGGTTAGAATAATTTTGTACACACCAGAATTGAAGTAAAGAGAAGTAAAAGAGCTATATCCAAACACAGAAGGAAAAGGAAAAATCATGAGACTGAATGGAATTTCATGGAAGAAATGTGGAATGAAAACAACTGTGGCCCATTGTAGAGTCCAGATGCAGAGCCAGAACCAGAGCCACACAAGATGGAGGAGAAAGGTAAGGCCAGCAAGGGACCATCAGAGAGGAAAGAGGAGAGCCAGAGGGGATGGTGCATTGCAGCAAAGTGAGGAGAGGATCCCCAGACACATGAATGTCAACATGACTAACTTTGCAGAGAACTCAGTAGCTTCTTGTACTTGGGATTCAGTTACTTAGAAAACTCCAGTCATAAATCTTCTAATAGAGTTACCACTTGCCATTTTACCTCCTGTTCTAACTGAGAAAGTTTTCAAAGAATGACTTACAACCCATCAGCCCAGTCAGGGCCAAGGAAATAGGCCTCACTCTGGCTGTATGTTCAACCAGAAATTTGAGAAAGACATGAATGCTATGAGAAACAGGTCCAGGATGAACCTGGGAAAGGTAGTGGCAGCAAGCAGAAAACATGGACCATCAATGCACCGCACTTCACAAGCACCAGGGGTGTATCTCACTTAGATCCTTAATAGTGACAAACACAAGTAACAGTAACGAGTTTCTCAAATTGCAACTGACAGATGTTTCCCCATGTTAAGTGAATACATGCTTGTCACCAACCCTGGATTCTGAAAGCTGATAGCAAGCTGTTTCTGTGAGGAGTGCCTTGGTCTCCCCTTTACTATCAGTAAGGGCCTTGCTCATACACAATCAGTTGAGTATTTATTAATCCTGGTCAAGGGGCAGCAAGTAAATGACACCATGGGGACTCCAGCCTGGGCTTGATACCAGCGTTCCTATCCAAGGAGATGAGTGCCCTTGGTCTGCCTTAATGTAACTCTGGTGGGGTAAGATATAAATAAGAGACCAGATAAATAGCAGCCTTGTGAATACTGAAAGTTAAAACCTTTCATTTTTTTTTTTATTCAAAGTGTCAAGTATAAAGCAACTCTCATTAGGTGAAAAGAGAGTAGTAGTTTTGGGGTATTCTTTCTGCTAATTCATTTTATTACCTTGGAAATAAAGAAGATGGTATGCTACATCATAACAAACCAATATCTGTTAAAACCAAATTTGGGGCTGATGGGGTGGCTCTAGTGGTAAAGTACCTACCTAGCAAGTATGAGGCCCTTAGTTCAAACCCCTGTAATGCCAAAAAAAAATTGTGAATCAAATTTTGGAAAGGAAGATACTTCCTTCAAAGTACATTAGATAGGACTGTAGGAGTTAAATGGACATATCTACAAATTAGTGGAACATGAGGTTTGTAATTTATAGAGATTCTAAAGCTAAAATTGTCAAGCTAGTCTAAACAAACTTAAATGGGATTCCAGCTTACAGGACAGCTGTCAATGGTCCTGCCTGGCTGATTCATATGATTTAGAGCAAGGCTCTCTGTGGGACCCCAGTTTTCCTGGTTTGTTCCCTGCCAGAAGGTAGCTTTACCCACTGTAAACTCCTCCTCTCCTTGAGTAAGGCATCCTGACCAGTGAAAAATAGAGAGCACAGAAGAGCCATGTATGTGGCATCTTTACCCATCAGCCCATCCTATGATTGGAACTATCTTTACATATGTATACCAAGACTCAACTTTAGTTGGGCACTAGATTAAAACAAAAGCAAAAAATTGTCAGTGGAACAATAAGGTGTTTTTCCCTAGGATGTACTTGCTGAAGGACACATAGTATCCTGTGATCACAATCATATCTCTAAACTCAGAGAGAGGGTCAGACAGCCTGGGATCTCTGCAGTCCTAAGCCTCAGCTAATGCTCTTGATTAACAGTATACCTTGAGCTATTTGGGGTTCATGTCCAGATCACTGCACAAATAAAGCCATTCACAGGACATTTTTTTGGTTTCCAGTATATAGAAAAGTATGTTTATATTGAACATATTTATCAGGTGTACAATAGCATATGTCTCTTGCAAAACAGTGCACATAGCTTAACTGAGGTACTTTGTTGATAAAAAATGCTAACAATCTTCTCAGGTGTTGAAAAAATGATACCAGTAGACTTGTTCAAGCAGGATTGCCACAATCCTTCAATTTGTAAAAACTGCCATACCTGTAGGGCATAATAAAGTGAATCACAGTAAAATGAGCCCTGTGGTGCAGGGGTGAGGGGATGGGGAGCAGCCTGGCCATGTGGTCATTCAAAGTAGTCCTCTACAAGCAAGTTCCTAGAAGCTATACTGTCTAAAAAGCCACTGATCCTGACAATAAGTTCATGTCAGATCTGGAATTTATCTAAGTTTGTCTGTTTTGACTTGATTCTGTCCAAACATATTGTTTACAATAAACACCTTCAAATATTTAACCCTATGAGCATGTTTGGAACATGCTGTCAGTGCCCTCACTTCAATTCATATGGTGAATGCCCGATCGCTAAAGGAACAGTGTTAGGGGAAGTGAGGCCTTTGGAATTAATGAGGTTTTGATGGTGAAACGTCTTAAAAGAAGAGAGCAGAGAATCTCTCCCTACCTGTGTGGACACAGCAAGAAGTGAGTGCCCAAGCCAGGAAGAGGGCACTCACCAGGAAAAAAACTCAGCTAGCACCTTAATGCTGAACTCAGACTCCAGAACCATGAAAGATAAATTACCGTCATTTAAGCTACCTTGTCTATGGTATTCTGTTGTAATTAAAGAACTGAAGAAAGAACTCATCAAAATTAAAATAGAAGGATGGTTTTAACTATGAATCATCAAAGCTCACTGCAGACCACTATAAATATAAAGGAAACAAACATTACCTACACATCTCCTTGTGGGCAGAGGAGGGAACAGGACTGAAGGTTGGGGCAGAAGCCACAGGCTTTTTTGGGCAGACCTACCAAGGAATGCTAGGGCCCAGCCCCATCTCCGTCAGCATCCACACACACAGGTGTTGAGAGGATAGCAACTGTCTCCTGATTTCCAAGAAGATGACCTTATTCCCTGTGACCTGAACATTTATGATGAAAAACTTGACACAGTTTTGGAAAGGTCCAGTTTGTTCACTATACAAACTTACCACATGTCATGCACCCTGTGGAGCATGAGGGACAAAAACAACTGAAAAATTCTGCCTCGGGACTGCTGAGCAAGGATGACAGTACAATGGTTATCCCTTTTCTTCTTCTGAAACAAACACGGTGCATAAAAAGTTCCCTTCCATCTCCCCTCCTTTTCAGATACCTGCTCAGTCCTTTCTCCCCTTCACTGAGTTGCTTCCGCAAAGAACTACTTGTAGCAGCTGCTTCACCTGCCTGTCCCCATGCTCCCTCTCCTTCTCCCCACTGGTCTTCAGAGGCAGCAATGGCCCAGATCCAACCATCCAGTGATCACACCTGTCCTCATCTTACTGGACCATATGGTGGCACTTCCCCACTGCTGATCAGTCCTACATCTTTCTCAACAATCACGATTTTCCTCTGGAGTGCAGGGCTGGCTCCTCTTCCTAAGCCAGTGCTCAGCTTAACTGCCACCTCCTGGCAGGGGTGGACCCTGGCTAGCCAAGCACAGGAGCCTCCTTGGTGCTCACACATCCCTCTATTTGCATCTATCACATCAGCTCATCATCACCTTATTACTGATGCATTTTACTTATTGTTTGGTTACCTGCCTGTTTCCTTAGAGTATAAGCCCAAGAAAACAAGATGGTGCCAGTCAGTCCACCATTGTACTCCCAATGCTTCTAGTGAACTTGACAGTGAAAATTCCACCAATCATAGCAACTTCACGAATAAAGAAAGCTGATGAATATATACATATGAATTAAGAAGTTCTAGCAAGAAAAGATACTATTCACAACAGTAGCAAGGAAGGTAATTGTGCTTTGTGAGAAAGTGACAATTATACAGACCACTGGACAAAGAGCAGGGAAGGACAGATTCCATTGAGTTTGCTCAGTCTGGCAGACATGAAGGAAGAGCCTGACATAGTCCTTGAGTTTTCTGGGTAATAGACCGAAAAGGAGAATACTTTCACGTTCTACTCACTTCCGAATCTGAAGGGTCTAGTGGTTATTCACAACTTGGTAAACACTGCTGCCTATAGTGGTGGTAAAATACTATGCTCCAAAACATATTCTTCAAAAGCTTCCACGTATGGTCCACAGGAATAGTTTGCTGTGAGCACTGCTTTTGAACTCATCAGAAATCACCACGACAATCACAGGATAATATTTTACTCAGCAATATCCTCTAACAAAGCATTGTATTGTCTTCGACTATCTCAATTAAGATGGTCTTGCCAAAAAAAAGAGTTTTTCCATGAATAGCTGAGGAACAATAGGTAAGAAAGGAGGCATTCTCTTTCAGATTGAAATTATGAGTAACATAGTTTTAAAAGATAGTGAAATTAAGATTTCCAAACAGATACACAAAAGATGATAATGACAAGCAATAATAATAATTTTGCTGGATTCAAGACAAGGCTAACTGAAAGCTGAGTTAATTGAATGTTTGGAATTTAAAACATAAAATGAGGTGAGGGAAAAATGCTAGAGCAAGGCAGAGTTCCTACCTGTGGCCAGATAGATGATGTGGACAAGAGAATCTCTTCCCTGCACAACGTCCACAGCCACGTGGGAGAAGCGGCTGTTGTCTTCCATGAAGGAGGGCACTGTGGTCACTGGCTGTACCACCTCATGCATTAGAATGAACTTCTGAGCGTCTTGCAGGTTTCTTTCTGTCAAGTTCACATACAGACCCTGGTCCATGGTGCCACACTGCAATGGAAGACCATGCATGTTACCAGAACCAGTCACGTGGACACCCACAGCCGATATGGCCACCACAGCTGGAGGGTAACTTGCTACATGAGTAAGGCAGAATGCATAACTCCATCTTCCATGAACTCCGCAACCCTCATGACCTCCCACTATAGTGGTGAACACATCATATTTGGGGAAATCTCTCAACTCCATTAAAAAGAGATGATCAGAAGTTTAAAAACACAGAGTGGGAGTTGTTGCTGTCTTTAACAGCAAAGGCACAGAACCTTTTTGTTACCTGTTAGTCTCTTTAGAACTGCCTGGATCATACTCTTCCATCTGTCTGATAAGGTAGTACCCACATTAAAAACACAGCAATCAAGAGCATCATTCATTAATTTTCCTATCATAGCATGGGTTTATAAGCACACATTTTCATTTGTATGATATTATGATATTTCATTATGATATTTCATTTGTAGACTATGTAGTATCTTTCATTTGGGCTAAAAAATATGATGCTGGTCTGCATGGGTGCTAATATTCTAGGCTAGAAGAAATTAAAAAATGTTTAGAGTCCAGGAATCTGAAGTAATATATGGTAAGTCTGCAACAGGAGAAGATGAGGAGAAGTAAGGAAGGAGAGGGGAGAAAAAAGAAGAGAGTGAAAGGAAGAAAGGAGAAGGGAAGAGGGAACAATTTACAGGTAGAGAAAATATCGTGAAGCTGAATCTGGAATATACAGGGGAAAATCAGGCCTGAAAATTGCTGAGAATTAAACTCAGAACAGCTGGGAGAGGTCAGCAGGTGTTACAAATGACAGTTTCTAGCAAGGACAAGGTAAGAAAAGGGGTAGGAAAGAAAGCACAGCATTCCTGGAACACAGCACAGAATGAGAAAATTACCATCAGCCTTTCTCATTTCTTATATAAACTTTAAATCCTGGTACAAATAGTTACCTCTCCTGAGCAGAACTTTATATAAGTAGGTTTGGTGGAAATTCATTTGGAGATATAAGCTCCCTGAAATTATCATTTATAACATTCATTTTTAGTACTTGGTCTTAAAACAGGCTAAAAGATCGTGGGTGTGAGATAGAAATTACTTTTTAAAAGTAAATGATGTTTTTGTAGCATTTAATAAAATACCCTCATGCCATAAAATCATACGTCAATAGAAGACATAGAGAAACTTGGAGGTAAATGGGTTTCGTGCATTGAGTCCAATGCTTAATTTAATATCATATCCTTGAAGGGCACATGGGCATCAATGAAGGGGCAGCATAAGTTCAGGAAAAGGCTCAGACCAGCAATGGATGACCAAACTGGTTTCAGATGTCTTAGAACTTCAGAGTCATGGAGACTCAGGAGAGGCCTGGATCTCTGCCTCTTGTTTCCTCACCTGTGAAGTGGTTAGGAAAATGCATGCTTATTTCTCGGGGCTAATGCTATATCAACTGAGATAATCAGTGGAAAAAATTTGTAAATTAAAGTTCCTGTAAATGTCAAAGAACAAGACAATGTGCCTGGCAAGAGAAACCACTCAACCAATAGTATGTGATAAATGCATTTGTTCTAAAGCAGTACAGCAAATCCAAATCTACAGTGCACAGAGGGAAATGGGAGTAATAAAAGTAATCAACACATGAATACAGAAGCAACTTCTTTGTGGGACAGAAAGAGGCTGAACCAAGAGATTTTATATAACTATAGCATTTGATAGGAACACTTGAAACTTGGGGATGTTGCCTATTAGCAAGGGTTTTGAAAAACTGAAAAGGACTCCATCCACTGGTGTTGGTCCAAAGTGAGCTCCAGCTCTTAGGGTGACTTTGTGTTGTGCTGCTTATTCCAGAAATTCATGGCAATACTTCAGGTACAGGTGACAACTAGCCATGTGTCTTCTGGGTGAATTTTGCATACAACTATTGGTTTATATGCATGGAGTTTTTTAAAAAAATTACCATACTTAAAAGCAGAAAGCATAGTCTAGAAGTAAAAACCTTCCACTGTGTTTGAGGAGATTAGGAGAGCTGGAGAGAGGCTCAGTGGCCTGATATTGCTAGCAGGACCACTTGCCATGCCTAGTTGGCTTTATTCTTAGAGCCCATGCCTCCTTGAAGTCACCTGACTGTATTGTCAAGAACTGTGTTTGAAGTATTCTTCATTGTTTCGTTGTATCTGTTGCCATCCTACAATAAATATACCACACAAGGATTCTGTTTCCAGTATTTTGAAATCTATTCAAGTTTATAGGGTACATTTATTGGATTATAAGCAACTTGCCTAGCTAAGAACTATAGTCTCCATCTGTGCCTCATACACAGATTTCCCCCAGTTTCTGTATTAGGCACTTAGTGATACCCTGGGACACTGTGAAAGAGACAAGCAATATAAATAGAAAAGGCACAGTCTCTGCCTTAGTAAGCTTCTGGCTAATGACCCAGAGGGTTATCATGACAACACCTTTTCAAATAAGAAGGTCAGTAATTCCCTTAATTATAAGTCAACAATAAATACTTGAAGTTTTATTTGTTTCAAAGACAACAAATCCATCCTTGTCCTAACACACTAGTGCTTCCTGATCAAGCCAATAATCATCTAACATCATCCTAAGACCTCCTGGTTTCCATGGTACCTTCATCCACTGGCTTCCTTGCTCCCTCCCATCTCGTTGCCAATATGCACTGTGTATTAAAGGATCCTGAAGGATGCAGAAACTTCTGCTGTCTCCTTATTTGACAGCTTTCAAATGTTCAATTTTCCCACTTTGGCTGCATCAGTTCTGATCAGCATCAATCAAAAACATGTAGAAGATTGTGTAGTCTGTCACAATTGCTGTGCTGCCGGGTTTTGTTTCAGTGGCTGCTGAGTTTCTATGAGGCACAGTGTTTGGATGACTTTGGGACTCAAACCTCTAATGGACAGATACTCAAACACCACTGATGTTGGCTTCTAGATTGCAACTGCTAACGGTAACATTTGTCATTGTTTTCAATTGAGATTTTCACACTAAATTTAGACATGTTACATACTGTCCTTTCTAAACTCATTCATCTTCCTGACCTTGCCTCTCTATTAATTAGCTACTTCTACTATATAAGTGTGGCATAAAATCCTAAATGTCAAAAGGAAAATCAAGACTTAAAAAAATCTAACAACTTTTCACCACTGATCATTGCAAACATAATGGTTTCTGTACATTTCTGGTTGAGGGATCTGCAGTGAAAATGAATTTGCAATCTACAACAGTCTAGATGACTTCATGAATGTCAGTCAGGATACCTATACTGTTGCAGATTTAAATACAATATACAAAAAGAAACCACACGTTTGTAGAAAGAGTTACAAAATAATCACAATGATTTATAATTTTAGTTCTCTGCAAGTTTTAAATCTAACCCCAAAAGACAAGCTCAGGTAAGCAAGTTTCCCGGCTCTCTGCTTGTTTTATTCCTTATGCAGCACAGACATAGTTCCATCTCATAGATGCAAGGAAGTCCTTCAGTGTGACACTGGCATTATCAAACCAGACACTGGTAGCCCTAGGAAATGAGGGGATTTGTTGTGTGCTACAAATATATCCAGATGAATGGGCTAAACATTATCCATTGCCTGGAGGTGGTAAGGGATCACAAAGTAATTAAGTCACTTTATTCACTGTGAAGACCTGAAATAGAATAGAATTATGCATGAAAAGTGCACTGTAAATAAGCAACTTTGTTAATTTTTTTAACCATCATGATTTTACAAAGGACTTACTTAAAAGGAAAGAAAGATATGTTTTATTATCCATGTAAGAGGAGGGACAAGTCAAAGTACACATTTACCCAAAATGTGGTACCCAGAAAGGACCAAACAGATGGTCTCTAAGAGTCATTTTTATCAACACATTACCATGTAAAAGCTAGGCGTCCACCTCTCATGCCTGTAATCCTGGACTCAGGAGGCAGAGATCAAGGCCAGCATGGGCAAATAGTTCGCAAGACCCTATCTCAAAAATATCCAACACACACACACACACACACACACACACACACACACACACAAGTAAGTAATGCACACTGATTGACATTACCAAAGTTTATTCCAAAAATATCCCTATACATCTATATCCCTCTTCTCCACTTTATTGATGAAAATAAGAGTGAGAAGAAGCTAAATATTTTTCCCAAGGAGAGCAGCAAAAGGTAAAGGTAACATGTACATCAGTCATTTTATTCTCAATCCCAAATCTTTCAAAAAATTTTAAAACAACAAAACAATGAAAAACTCAAAGCAGTTACAACCAAACAGCATTTGCCAAAATCTATGTGTGAAAAGTTGAACCTTTCCAAATGCCCAGCTTTCACAGAAGTCACAGATTTTACCCTTTGGGATGATGAACACAACAGAGTTTAAAGGATCTATTTCTATGCTAATTAGTGAGGGGTACTAAACAGTTGTTAAGCTGGAATAGATGGGATGTTTGTTTCTGAGGGTGGAGGTTGGAATCCCAGCTCAAGCACTAATCAACTGTGGCCATGCTGGATTTTCTGCCTTGAGTCTCAGTGTCCTTCACTGCAAGTGCAGCAGTCTTACTTACCTATGTGGCAGTGCTGCCAGCCTGCAAGATGACGACTCTAAGTGTCTAGGAGAGTGACCAGAATTTCATGGTGCTAAAAATTACACGCATAATGATTGTAATACAAGGGCTGTTGACAGTAAAGTGGTATGCTAAGTAAGGCTGCTCTTTCAGTGAATGCACACTGACATTCGTGTGCTGAAGCCCTATCTCTCAGTATGGCTGTATTTGTCTATAGGACCTCTAGGAAGTAATTAATGTTAAATGAGGTCATATGGGTGATGGCTGACCCCATGGAACTGGTGACCTTATAAAAGGAGAAAAGAGGCCAGAGATGTCTTTTTCTTCCATAGGAGGATACAATGACAAGATGGCCATATGAAACCCAAGAAGACAGTCCTTGTCAGAAAATTGACCCTACTCATGCATCTTGAACATCTACTCCCGAGAATTGTGAGAAATAAATGACTGTTCTTTAAGACACCCAATATATGGTAGTTTGTTACACCAGTCCAAACAGACTGATACACAGTGTGTGACTGGCCAGACACAGTGGCTTCATCTCTGGGTCTCAGCTTCTTCTGAACACTGGGAGACAGGATAACTCATAAAGCCCTTAACAGCTTGAACACTAGAATTCTGTGCATGACTGGGAGATGAATGAATTTCAGCTCTGCTTCTTTGTCCCCAGCTTTCACTATGACTCCACCCAGAGATTCTGGGGACAGAGTCCATAATCATTAGTATTAACTGAAGCCCAGTTTGCTAACCCACACCAGAAGGCTGGACTTTTTCAGTTCGTCGTTGGACATGACAGCTCACAAATGGCCTTGTTTTGCTCTAGGCACCATAGCTGACATAGACTCTGCTTATTAACATTAGCCAACCTGAGTATTGAGCCGTCCTCTAGTGGACAGGGAAATCACAGTTGCACTATACATGCACCCAATATATGGTTTAATGGTCCCAGTCTCTCTATAAGAGTTTCTGCCTTCTTCACAAGGGAAGCCCAGAGTTCCCTCCACCCCTGGGATTACCTGGAAGTTGGGGTTGGGGTTGGGGTAAGGCAGCCAGGCAGAGCGAGAATTTTCCTGGTACTTGAAGGGCCCATTGAAGGCCTGAGAGATGGCACTCAGGTTGAAAACACACACAGCGGAGGCAGCAATGCTGTTCCTAGAAGCAAGAAAGAAGAAAGTGGGGGCAGGTTAGAGAGCCCTGCAGTGACTGATGACCTCCACAGGAAGCAACTTCTAGATGCCTCATGCCCAGAGGCTCTTAAACATCACAAGAGGGTAAAGTGAGAGCAGTGCATGGGGCTTCCTGTGATTTCTTTGTAAAGAAACAAGTGTTTAGGTATTGAAACAAGAATAGTTAGCAGATATGACACTGGTTAATCCTGGGATTAATTCACTCAGCCACAACTGGATCACAACCTCTTTATTTTGCCTGACAAATTCTGGGAGGTATAGACTTTCTTGAATAGACAGAGCCTCCCATCAGTCTTGCATGGTTCCCTGACTTGCCCATTCATCTGGCTACTTTTGTTGGCAGTAGTCAAGCTTTTTTCTTCCAAATCTCCAGATATTTGTGTTTATTTGTCATTCCTTAAAAATTATCAACTCAGAGTATTTTGCAAAGAATGCTTGTCAGATCCTTCATATTGTTTTAATTTAAGAAGATCTGTAAATCTGAAGGATCAGAGAGAAAAACTTTGACATTAGCACTGACATATAAAATTTTGAAGTCTTAATTTAGAATCCAAGCTCTGCAGAAAAAGTCATAAATGAGAGGTTTCAGAAGGTCAGTGCCCTTTGACTTAGTATGGAAATTACAGGCAAAATGTTCGGAATTAAATTTGCATTTTAAGCTCAGTTGTGGTTCTCAAAGGGAAAACTGGATAAAAGGAGGAACAAGTATTTTCCATAATAATGATCCAGCCAATGTTATGTCTACTTGCAGCAGTTGTTTTTCCTTTATCAGAAGGACGTTGAGAAACTCTAGAACCAAAATACCTACCTGTATTTGTTCCTCTGACAAACAATAAATTGGCACAAGTTGTAATCCTACAAACTTTCCTATCCCAATCCACATAATCTTCTAAGGTAAGAAAAACTCACAGGTAGGGAAAATAAGTCAGGCTCAGTGAGGACAAGACACCTGGCTAACAGTCTGGGAAGCATCCCTTGAGTCCTGGGTACTTTGGTTCCAAAAACCAAAATTGTAACTCTTCGTGAGATTTCTGTGAGAAGTAGACGGCATTAAAGAACATCTCCAGGTAAGGGCCTAGAGGGCAGGTATGAGTTTCTTCCAGCACCAAGAACAGGGTCCTACAAGGAGCACATGGGCCTCCTGTGTGGGAGTGGGTGCTAAACACAAACTACTCATATAGCTGTTTTTACCCTTCTTTTCATTATCCTTGGAAGAGAACATGACAAGTTCAGGGAGGAAATAGCCCTTGAACGTGTGACTGGTCTTCAGTACCAAGAAGACACCAACTAAGTTGGATTAAGAACTGCCAGACCCACTGGCCAGAGGTCATCCTTAGGCCAGGCACAGTGGCGGGTATGTGTAGGGTCAACTACAATACTAACACCCTGAGCCTTCTGTTAAGCACTAGATAGACACATTCTAGTTTCTTACAGATGCTACAGATCCTAAGAAGATCCTGACTTCCCAGATGGGCAAACATCAGCAACGAGAGATTACTTGGCTGAGGTCACAGGCTACAGTAGATAAAGCAGGATTTGCACTGGCTTTGTATAGGTCTCAGAATTCACACCCTTAACTATGTTGACATGTTGCATTCTCGTAAAAGCAGACCCTTATCCTCTTTATTTGACTCCGAATGGGGGTGGTCTCGGCTCAAGTATCAGTCCAGAGACTCCCCTGGACATTCCAGTAGATGCTGGTCTGAGCTCCTCTCACTGGTGTCAGGGGACACTTCTTTCCAACTCCTGCTTGGGAACAAGCATTGGTGCAGTATCCACGCTCTGTCCTTGCTCCCTCATTCTTTTCTTGCTCTAAGAGGGGTGGGGGAAGAAGGGCATATATGATTCGTATGTCCTTCCTCCTCTTCCTGGTGTGGACATTTCTGCAGGAAGTACATGTCTACCTTCTCTTGTAAGGTCTCCCATATAGGCAGGTAAAGCCAGCCTAGGTCTAGACTACCTTCACCTTCTGAATAAGTCTGCTTAAAGCTGAGATCAGTATTAGTAAGTCCATCTGCCTAACAGACACACAGCTGTGTGTTCCAACCTGGCCTCAACTAACCTGGTCTCATTTAACCTTGTTCACAACCCACAACCACACTAGGGACCCACTTGGTGAACTCAGCAACAGGGGAAGCCACCATTAGAAACTTCTAAAAAAAATGTAACCCTTCTACCTCTTAAAATGGAAGAGCAATCCAAACTTCTTCCCTAACACCTGACCCTACTTTACTCTCCATACACTAAGCTATAATATGTCTGTCATATACTCTGTCTGATATCTAGAAGATCAGCCACTATTTCTAGATACCCAGAAAAAAAGGAAAAACCTGAAGAAACTCCACTGAAGTAGCAACCCCTTTTTTGCAGCCCAATCCTTGCGAGGTGGCTAAGGAAAATCACACAGACCAAGAACAGAATGAATCAGAATAGGTACCTCTCCTACCCCATTCTACTAGTGGTAAGAAGCCTTGACTGAATACAGAGGCAAACTAAAACTTTAAACCAAAAAGTTACTGCCTCTAATTTAGAGACAGGCAACTACTGGCTTCTTTAATTTCAATTTCTTTCAGTTTGAACCAATTTTTCTTGAGAATGCAGTCAAGAAATCAGTCAAGATTTCTTAAGTCAAGAAATCTTAAGAAGGTAAAAGGCTAAATATGAGAGGAGAGATGGGATATACTGTGGAATTAGAGAGGGCTGTGTCAGAAATGTGTTCCCAGACCTATTCAGAATAAGTATTCAAGTGAAAGGAGAGAAGGGTGATTTCATCTCTGTCAGTAGAGAAGGCACACATTGGGTGACTTCTGATATGGTGAACACTTGCAACCCTAAACAAATAGTCTGAAATAGTCCAAGCCACTTTTGTCACCCCCTAAATGGACTATTCACCCTCTTGGAATGATTCAGACATGGCATTTATAGAACTTTCAAAATTGGTGTTTTTGTTGTTGTTATTTTTGCTCACAGCCAGGGGAACGGACAACTAAGTAAGCCAAGCTCCCATTGTGTGTAAAATTGATGTCAACTGAGAAACTGAACTTTTATCTTGTGCAGACCACACTTTTTCTTAAACAAGGTTTTGGAAAGTAAAAAAACTTCAGAAACCATAAATTGATTTTTTTTTTTAAAAAAGAAACTCAAAGAGGGAAAATGACCTCTGGGGTTGAAAAGCAGATTTAGGACAACAAGAATGGCCATGATTGAGTGGGCTGGGGGTGGGGCCATGCATACTAAATGCCTTTCTATTGTCTCAGGAAGAAGCCCATGGCTGTGAACACTCTTCAGCACTGGAAAGTGCCACAGGAAGAAGGCAACGGTAAGTGACTGTAGTACTGCAGTTCTTAGGCAGGCTTTTGAAGCCAAAGGGATGAAAAAGTCAATGAAAAATGTGTGGGGAGAACAAGCATCATAGGGTAGCTTACTGTTGGGTTCACCAGGACTAAGGTTTCCTAGGACCTGGGGAAATCCCAGACAAGCCAGGGCTATTGGCTACCCACACCACTATCAGCATATTTCACTCGTTCAGATTTGGATCCTTCACTTTGGACACAATTGCTTGATTTTTTTTTTAATCATTAAGTCCAAACTAGAGATTCTAAATGTGATTAAAGCCAGAACCTGTATTGTAGGATTGTTAAGTGGCATTGCTGATGCTGAGGGGAGGCACATTGCACATCTACTGAATTCCTGAGTCAGTGTTCTCTCATTGAGTCTTATCACAGCAACACCAGCTAAGGATAGGAATCACTGCAGGGTCATGAGAACTCTACTAGACCTCAGGAAAATTCTAGGCTTTACCCAGTACAAACACATATCTGTTCTGATGTTAAGAGTATTTTCCCAAGAAAAAAAAATTATAATGTTTTCAGGAAAGACTTTATAAATAAAATGTTGTTTAAGAAATATGTGCCCAAGTTAGCTATCTTCCAGAAATAGTTTAAAGTCATTTATGGAAAAGTGAGAGAATGCTTTTCACATATATAGCAGAGGTTGAAGTATAGAATTATGCTATCTCAAAGATCCAGACTTTCTAGACATGTTGCTTAGTATACCGTGCAACATAAATGCATGACTTGTGAATAGAAAACAATAGATTTAATATGTACCAGTATAAAGTACACAGAACACATAATTCAAGAAGAGGCAATTAAAAATAGAATAATTTGATATTGCTATTACCTAAAGATGAATCAAAACTTTTTGGATTAGCTTTATTTTCTAAATGCACTTTCACAAAACACATATCTTTGCCTAATATTTAATTCATACCGAAAAGACTGTTTTTGTTAGTGTTTGGCTGCTAGCCCAGTAAAATAAGATAGAGTTCCTCTAAAGCTACTTTAAACCTTCAGAGGGCAAAGAACAAAAGGCTCATTCAGAATGAGTAAAAGAGAAGAGAAAGACATTGTTTCAGGTTACATACACATTGGTGGTGAAGATGCCATAGAGCAGATCCAGCTCGGGCAGGAAGAAAGTGCTCTGCAGTTCATTGTAGTAGAAAGGCACCTCCCCAGGGCGGGAGCAGTTCAGGCGAGCCTTCATGAATGTGGTCCAGGTGTCTTCCAGCAGGAACCGTCCCCCAATGTCATTCTTGCAGACCCGGGCAGCTCTGGAGAACACTGTTTTCCCACAGTCATGTTCCACAGCATTTTCTCGGAAAAAGAAGTAGGTGAAATTTCCAATGTCGTAAGAAGACACAAAGTTTGGTTCTGAAAAGAATAGGAAAGGAGAATTTCTCAAGATCCATGTGCTATTCTCCTTTATCTTTATCTTGTTTGCTTAGTATTCCTTCCAAAGAGACATGGTTTTCTTTAGATGGCACCTGGTTCTTGTAGGGCAAATGAGAGGCCCTGACCTATGCTGCTTGGCAGCTCAGGGTCACACACAAGTTCTAAGTAATAGGAAATCCAACAGCGTGGTTCCACACTCAAGCATCCTGACTTAAATCAGTAGGTAATTAACATGACATTAATACCACCCAAAGCTTGCAGAGCAAAGTAGAGCAGTACATAATACTTTATTTGAAAACTCTTACATAAACTCCAGAAACAAAGGGAGAAAATAATATAAAAAAAAGATGAAACGTTTCCGAGCACAGGAGTTGCAGTGGTGTTTTATATGCGTGCCTGTGACTTCAACATCAATTGATGCTTTGGTAAGAACTTTAAAAATGTTTTTCATTGGGGAAAACTGAATCAAGAACTCACACTGTGAGGTTAGTGCCCTGCATTAACTTGAGTATTTCCTGTTACTATGGTGACCATGCAATGATGAGAATCAAGTCTTATTTTCTTATTTCTGGGTCGCCAGGAAAATATACTGAAAAGAAGAAAGATATTGAGAAGGAGTCATTGTCAAGTTTTCTGGTCTCATAGTTAGCTAAGTATAGAACTTAGAAATGACAAAATTATGGCAAAGTCTTCATTTAATCATCAAACTCATTAGGAACTTACGACATACAGATTAAGAACTAAATTTTACACCTAGTATTTTAAGTGTCATCTTCCTAAGTTCCTGTTTGAGCCCACTGACAATAGAGGCAGTACCCTTTCAGACACTGATATATCCTAATGTCTACCTCTAAAAACCCTCAGAAAGCTTCATTCTTCACTCCTTTGTCTGTTTCTAAGAGCACTCTACTCATCCAGCAAACCTCTGAATTTCATGGTGCGATTAGGGTAATTATGGAACTAACCTTTGATGTTCAAAATTAACGGAAAGACACAGCCAATAGCTATATCCACAGGACACATTTTCAGGGACAATTATTTTCTTGGGGCAATTCTTTGGCCCTTTACTTTGTTACATCTAACTGAATTTACCAATGAGCATGCTATTGGCAGGATAATTAAAAATAAGTTTGACTGAAAGATAAACCATTTATGTTAAAAAAAGAAAAAAAAAGACACAAACAGGCTCATCTAAGCCTGAAACACAAACAGTGAATTTAGACACTGACAAGGTGGGGATTGGCATTGACTACTCCTCTATTGTTGCCAATTTTCAATGTCTATGTCTCTCTCTGTATCACTATCATCACGAAAAACTCTTTACATAAACTCCAGAAACAAAGGGAGAAAATAATATAAAAAAAGATGAAACGTGTTTCCGAGCACAGGAGTTGCAGTGGTGTTTTATATGCGTGCCTGTGACTTCAACATCAATTGATGCTTTTGGTAAGAACTTTAAAAATGTTTTTCATTGGGGAAAACTGAATCAAGAACTCACACTGTGAGGTTAGTGCCCTGCATTAACTTGAGTATTTCCTGTTACTATGGTGACCATGCAATGATGAGAATCAAGTCTTATTTTCTTATTTCTGGGTCGCCAGGAAAATATACTGAAAAGAAGAAAGATATTGAGAAGGAGTCATTGTCAAGTTTTCTGGTCTCATAGTTAGCTAAGTATAGGAACTTAGAAATGACAAAATTATGGCAAAGTCTTCATTTAATCATCAAACTCATTAGGAACTTACGACATACAGATTAAGAACTAAATTTTACACCTAGTATTTTAAGTGTCATCTTCCTAAGTTCCTGTTTGAGCCCACTGACAATAGAGGCAGTACCCTTTCAGACACTGATATATCCTAATGTCTACCTCTAAAAACCCTCAGAAAGCTGTTTCATTCTCACTCCTTTGTCTGTTTCTAAGAGCACTCTACTCATCCAGCAAACCTCTGAATTTCATGGTGCGATTAGGGTAATTATGGAACTAACCTTTGATGTTCAAAATTAACGGAAAGACACAGCCAATAGCTATATCCACAGGACACATTTTCAGGGACAATTATTTTCTTGGGGCAATTCTTTGGCCCTTTACTTGTTACATCTAACTGATTTACCAATGAGCATGCTATTGGCAGGATAATTAAAAATAAGTTTGACTGAAAGATAAACCATTTATGTTAAAAAAAGAAAAAAAAAGACACAAACAGGCTCATCTAAGCCTGAAACACAAACAGTGAATTTAGACACTGACAAGGTGGGGATTGGCATTGACTACTCCTCTATTGTTGCCAATTTTCAATGTCTATGTCTCTCTCTGTATCACTATCATCACGAAATGTTTTAACACAATTTTACTTTCAAACAGTTCAACACATATCCTAAGTTGTACATTGTACTTTGCTCATCATTGTATTGTTCTTAGTCTCTTAATAACATCAAAAGATTTTGATATAAACTGATTTTAATTTATAAACTGTCAAATATATTCTTTTATTACTCTGGCTTTGACCTGAAATGGTGTTTAAATGTATCCCCATTCTAAGTGTGGTGGTGCATGCCTGTAATCCAAGCTACTCAGGAGACAGAGACAGAAGGAAGATCTTGAGGTTGAGGCCAGTTTGAGGTGAAGGGACCTTATCTCAAATACAAAATACAAACAAAATTGCTGCAGTGTAGAGCTTAGCATGTGTGAGGACTTGGGTTCAATTCCCAGCACTACAAAAAAGAAAAAAAAAACCGAATTGTATTAAAATGTCTGAGAGGATCCTGGATATATTTAATGTGCCTGCATGCCTTAGAATCCTTCAGAGAGATTCACAGCACAATAGGTGACATGTGTTTAGAACATAAGAAAATATTAGGGTATTTAAAAATCTATGCGATTATGAATCTCCAAAGCAGAATTACTTGCAGAAACGGACTCCTAACATAAAGATATGGAACAATTCTTAGAATGGGTCCTGTACTGAGGCTTGAGGCTTATGTAACAAGATTATAGTTTGGTGAGCCTTATACCAAAAAAACAAAAGCCATCGTCACCATCAACAGCTCAGCAAACTCTCTGCAGATGAAGACAGTAAAGCAGGCATGGGGACAGGAAGTGTCTGGGACTTCAGACACCAGTCCATATCCACAAGGTATGGGGCATTCTAGCAAATAATCTCTAGCACTCTCCACTGCTGTTAATATGGGTACAAATAGCAAGAAAATCACAGGCTAAATATCTCTAGTAACTAATAAGTCTTGAGCAGGAAAATAAATAACTATCAAGGTAAAAAGTTCTGTTGCACATCACACAAGGGTAAAAAGATTCTTCCAGCTGGTACTGTAACAAAAACAGCATATTGTATTATAATAACGCAGGCTCTATAATAAATAACACTAACCTTATTGTTCCAAGTCAGGCTCGGTGCTTTACATTTATATTCTCACTAAACTCACAAGAACCAGAGAGGTAAGCATGGTGCTATCATTCCCATTTCATAGATAAGGACAATTAAAACTCTGAGGTTTAATAACTCATCCAAATTTCACAACTAGCAATGGGGGTGTGAGGTGGGAAAGGTGGAGGTAGTCAGACCTTCTGACTTCAGACACTATGCATTTACCATTACACTATGCTAAAAAACCAGTCCCACTATGTTACCAATACTTAGAAATAGGATTGAATTTCTGTGTAATACTCTTGGATGGAGGTCACAGCATGCATTTCACTGAGAGTGGTAGGTAGTTTTACTTAAGTACCAGCTAAGGAGATTTAGAACCAAGTAGAGAGAGAAGATCAATGATCAGATAAAACTATGACCCACATCTAAGAATGAAACTGCAAGAAGAGGCAGAAAGAAGAGGTCAACTATTCTAGGACTTAACAATCAAAAATATTGTTAAGTGTTCAGCCAGCGCCAGAGCTAGTGTTTCAAATAGCTTCCCTATTGCCGCAGTGGGCTGATGAGTGACTCTTAGTGGACTATTCATGTCCACTGTCCACTCTGCAGAACGTCACCTTGTGCAGATTTCTCAGAGAAGAGGAATAGTAAAGAGTGCTAAATGGATTATGGCAGAGCTTCCTCCTTCCTCAGAGAGCCTCCAAAAGCTCTCCAAATGCCTCAACCCATTTTCCAAGGTGACACTGTGCATTTCAGATAGAAATGCTCAAATACATTTTTTTCTTCTTGTGTAAGAAAACAAGAGAAGACTCTGTGTTAAGTGTGTAGTATATATTGTTCTGTAATTCACCATGCAGCACAGGTCACGTTGGTCAGGGAGCTACACCACACTTAGAAACACACCCGCTATCTCACAGTGATCCTTCAGGATGATCATGGGTCCCTGTGTGACCTGCTGTTAAGTTGGGAAGCTCCATTTCCTGGAAAGCAAAGTCTCTTGAAATTCAGGTGGCATCCTGTTCCTTTTCCAAAGACAGTAAAAAAGCAGAAACAATTGTTCAACAGATAGTCACATATGTCTAACATTCATAGATATAAATCTGGTACAGGGGACATTTGAATCTCACCAGGCAACATAATGAGATGCATATTATTTTCCTTCTATTATTTAAGTTCTGTGTCTTGTTAAAATGCAATTCATTAGAAACAAATACCTGTCACTTCTGAATAAATGGAACAAGCCATAAATCTGGCATTGCCTTCCTGCCTACTACGATCTGAGTGTACGAAAAAGGGATCCAACAATTCTTTATATATTGTTATCATTAGAGCTCCAAATGAATAGAAGAGTGCTGCTCCCTAATTCAGAAAAAGCAGACATAAGTTTATGTCAGCTTGTATGCAAATACATGAATGAAGAGGGCTATTTTCTCATGTTTGTAAAACATGTTGAGTTATAAATTGTTCTATAAAAAATGTCAGGAAAATAAGAATTATGCATCGTGACATAGGAATTGTGATTTTTACATCTTTACATACATAACAATGACTGTGCAGATGGCAGTGGTGAGGGCAAACTCACAATATAAATAA